ATTGTGGCGTTGACCAATGACCTACAATAATGAAAAATGAGCCAGACTAAAACAGTGTCACCAGACTCTGTGCATACTGGTTTAATACTTTGATATTGAAATCCCTTTAACTTAAATAATATATAATTTCCTAATTTAAAAAAGAAAACAACAACAAAAAAACAGACATTTAAGTGTAACAGAATTCAGCTAGGATAAGGGTTAAAATAGAAACATCAGGGTGAAATATTTCATGCATTAAATTTTCTTCAGACTTGATTTCCATGACATTTATGGTTAGTTTATTGTATACTACAGTCAGGCAGATGTAATTATCCGGAAAATGTCTTTATTCCGTTAAACAGAAGCTGGGGATAAGACACGTTAATCAGTAAATCACAGCCGTTATAATCAGTGTCACATCGTTAAGTCATAAGTCAGGCAGAAAGAAAAGATAAGTGGACACAGTCATAGGGAGAGAGAGAGAGTGATCGTAGAACAAGAGATCATTAAAGATCAATTATTGTTCACCTGATATCTGAATATCTTATTACGCCATAATTTTCAGTCATCAAGAAGCTTATAGGCGATGACTTGCAGAATTTAACGATTTTTTTGTCAGCTTATATTAAATTTAGAAATATTAATATACAGGTTCTAATGTAGTTTCATCTGTGAAAATATGTAACATTTGCAGAGTCCATGGGCTTAAAATTTGACAACTGGTACTCAATTGCCATTTACCATGGTTGACCATCAGTGTGTAAAGTAAAACCAGTTGTACGGTCAATGAGTAATCATTCTTTAAGGTGGTTAAACATGCTTTGAGATGGTTGATAAATTCTTCTTTACAATGCAATTTGTTTGGTTGGTTTTTTTGCAAATGTCTGTCAGAATGTATTCTTAAATGATGCTTATAATAAACTTGCAAAGTGTGAAGCCTAATCAAATATTTGCATAATTTTCAAAGGACTTGTGGTTTTTATAAAAAAATTTAAAGATTGTCAAACTTTTTTCTTTTGTTTTAATACAATATGTACAAAATTCCCAATTCAAAGTCAGGCAATAGATTACTTACAAATTTAGCAACTTCTATCTCGGAGTCTTCTTAAATGAATGAAAGGTTAAAATATATTTTGCCAAGTTTTGTGATAGTTGCTGATGTGGCAGTTATTTTTGTTGCCAAGTGATTTCCACCTGACCAGAAACATACTTTATTTCTTGGCTAAAAGATGTAAGAAAATGTCTCAACATTCAGACTCACAGGCTGAAAGAAAGAACATTAAAAGTTTCATGAAGATAATATTTTCTGTAAGGAAAATTTCTAGTGATTGCATGGCTTTTTGAAACTTTAAATGATTTTTATATCTTGACACTAATAATTATCTAAAAGGAATTGAATTTTACAAAAAAAACTGAAATTCATAAAAAATTAAAAGCCCCTAATGGGTTTTGAACCCAAAAACAGTGAGGGACAAGTTAAATTTAAATTACAGGTATTATTTTGGTCATTAAACATCACTAGAACTTAACAGGTTTGGAACTGAGAACACCCTTGAGTGCTGCACTTTCATTTCAGATTATACTAATTGAGCTGCGTCACGACAAAACCAACATAATGGGTTTGCGACCAGCATGGATCCAGACCAGCCTGCTCATCCGCGCAGTCTGATCAGGATCCATGCTGTTCGCTATCAGTTTCTCTACTTGTTATATAATTGGTAAGCGAACAGCATGGATCCTGATCAGTCTGCACGGATGCGCAGGCTGGTCTGATTCCATGCTGGTCGCAAACCCATTATGTTGGTTTTGTTGTGACACGGCTGTTTATGACAGTCATTTTGACCTAATGAAATTCTTTGACATGATTTTATTAACTTGGAACAAGCATAATGTTAAAATTTGACATTTTGTAAATTAAGGCCTATCCTAAGATTAATTTTATTAACTTTTTCTTCTTTCTTTTTGGTTCATTATTCAAACAAAAAGAATTTTCATAAATCTTACAGTATTTCTTGAAAACAGAGAATAAATGAGACAACCACACCCTAGATGTTTTTTAATGATTACATTTATAATAAACTGGCAGAATGAGATTTTCTTGAAGACAAATGGGGTCCTTGTGTACTATGTTATTTTCAAGAAAATGTTACATACACTCACATGGAAGATAGTATCTTTAGAATGATAATGATATCCGGTTATTTCTTTATGCCCCTGGGTAGTTCATGCTACCACTGGTAATTTGATAATCAGATAACCGATATTAAAACTTCATTATCAGATCATATTCCAAGTAGTTTACCAGGGTCAGATTCTGTAGTTTCTGGAAGAATAAAAAAAATCTGTAAGATCTCCGTCAGGGGCATGTTTCAATTGATGTCAGATTTTCTAAGATTGTAAACAAGAAATTTATTTAACCTTTTACCCATGATGACTTTCTCAAGTAGACCAGTAGCTTGTCATGCTTTCATGTATTTGATGACCTTATAATTTCCCCTGACCTCACAATTTATCTGAAATAGGCTTGTGATTCTCTCAAAACCAATTTCATCATTTTTGGGGACAGTTTCACAATAAGAACTGTCTGAATACCAAACAGTGCAGACCATCTTTAGACAGCAAGATATTGTGTCAGTTGATCTTGGTCTGCACTGGTCACATGGGTAGAGCCTCTGATTTTGGTCTGCTGTTGCTAAGGGTTACAGATTATTGTGAACAAATTCTTGGTAGGATATTGTCCTTTCTTAGAAAATTCTTGACTTTAAAGAAAATATATTTCTGCAGTACTTCATGGTCTTCTGAACTGTTCATTTCCAGAAGATAAAGTGCAAATTTTTAAGATCAACATTCTTGAAAATCCATAATTTCAAAAAATTGTCAAAAAATAAATGAAATTGCTAATTAATAACCCAATAATAAATACTCAAATAGTTCATAAATGCAAGTTCAAGAACTACATTTTTACATGAACTTACCAACTTCAAGAAAGGTCATATTTTTCTTCATTTCCAAGAGCATATAATGCATTTTTAAAACAGATTTTTCATGAATTGTTCACATAATTATAATTGTCTTTTTGAACAGTAACTGTTCAATTTTTTTAGGAGGTGGGTAAAATCATATACATGTAGCTATAATAATTAAGAAGCTGGCTCAGAACATAGGCATGCAACTGGTATTCAAAATAAAGAGACTACATTTTTTATTGGAGATTTTTTTTTCTCGATTTTTTATGAAATATGCTTGAAGATACTTGTAGTGTTGATAACTTTTATGGTAGAGTTATGGCCCTTTAACTGTTAAAGATATTAAATACTTCCTGTATATTTAAGATAACATGTATCAAGTTCAGTTATTATAGCTTTTTTATTTTCTTTGCACAAAATGAAAATGCATTATGATATCGTGGCAAATGGGATTTTGATACAAAATTTAGTGCAATAAATATAATTTTACATTTTGTGCTTCTATAAAGTAATTGAGTGAAACACTGATCCAAATGAAATTGAAACATTTGAAATTTTATTTTCTGGATTGATTTAAATCAAAAGAACTGACTTGATCTGTACTGTACTTGAGTAGTATGAAAAGGTTATTAAAGACTTGAAAAAAAATGCATGTACATGTATATTAAGACAGTACAAGCCCAAGGAAATATGTTGCAATAATATATGTTGCAATCTGTGTACTCAATCCCAACTTTCCATGGGCTCAAATAACTGAAGCCATTTTAGTTACATTATGTTCATAGATTTTCACCAAGGCAAGACTTTTAACATCAATAGGGCTCTAGGAATAATTTTAATATATGCCACAACATGTTTGTGTTTAGTCAGCAGAAAAAAAACTCAACCAGACCACATCCATTGATTTCCTAATGTAACCCTAATTAATAAAAAAAGAACAACAAAAACAAATCTGAATCCTTGCATGAAAATGACAACAGACTTTTTTACTCTGAACTAAACTTTCTAATCTTATTTTTTAAAATGTTTTATAGTTTACAATTACTGCGATGGGGTAAATATTTTCTTGTTTGTGGGGGTGGAGGGAGTGGGCATTAACACCTAAATATAAATCATATTATCATGTTATAAATGGATATACTTAAAACTGACAGATAAAATATCATGATAGATATGTTTTACATTTTGTTGTTATTTTTATGATGAATCTATTCAATCATCAATGATGTATTATATCATAAAATCAAAAAGATTATCATACTGTTTTGTTTTATATAAAATCACTACAATCTATCTCCGCAGTCATAAAACCTGTACTCTGTTTATTTATTGATACTAGCTTCCAGAAAATAATTATCTTAACATGACTTCTCCATTAAGTCAGAAAAAAAAATCTGACTGAATAAACGATGAAAGGTGGAAATATTTATTGGTTCCCTGCTTATTAATTGCTAAGATAATATTCTTTGTAAACTTACTGATCAATTCTGATCTTTAACCATTAACTGAATTTCTTACATAGATTTGTCCCTGGCTTCCACTTTAGGATTTGACCATAATCAATTTTTGGGATATCAAAAATGAATATTTGAGGTTAGTCAGCCAGTAGACTGAGCCTGGTCAGACTGTATTGATGTGCAGGCTGGTCTGGCAGTATACTGGGCAGATGATAACTTTTGGTTCCAGAAGGGTTAGAAATAATTAACCCTTTAAGTTATCATTATATAGAAATTAAACGCAGGTTATTTTGAATTTGTGAATGATTTTAGATGCAATTTTTTTTTGATATGAAAATGTTAGAATTGAGCACAGCAACCAGGTATAATAGTTAAGTCAGACTGCATAGATATGTTGGCTTGCTTGAGTATTTTAATAATTGTGGCATACATCTCTCTCAGCTGCTAGCATGCAACATAATAATATTTGACTTGAGAGTTCTAAATTATTATCAGCACAACATAACTGAGTTATAGTCAAATGTGAAGGTCACATCTTACAAACTTTATGTTTCTTTGACACAATTTACATATGGGTACAATGATGTATTTTCAGGAACACGGGAAAGAGAAAGAGAAGAAGAGTACAGGGAAGACAAAGAAATCCAGCTCCTTGAAATCTACCAAGTCCCCTTCTATATACTCAGGTTAGAAAACATTGTCACATTTACGGTAGCTTTAAGTTTAAACTCAATAGTGAAACAATTTCTTGCAGCTTATGTCGCTCAAATACCAGCATGTCAGTGTTCGAAATTAGCAGTAGTCCTATAGCCCCTGACTACTAAATTTCTCCTCGGGCTACCAACTTTTCACAGTAACAAGCCCGACCAGGCTATTGTATTTTCAGAGGCAATATAAACAACTGTTTTGAACAAATGAATCGTGCTAGTGAAATGTCTTTTGGGCTAGTGAATATTCCAATCTGGTAGTCCGACCAGCCTAGTGGATTCAAATCCTAATTTCTTACACTGGCATGTCCATTCCTATATGTAAACAGTACAGTGGTTCATATCAAGAAACATGGTTTTGACCAGAGTAAGGTTCAAACCCACAATTCCTTGGTTGATAGGCAGACATCTGAACCACTAGACAACTGCTTTCATTGACATAATTGGTGTACTGAAGCCTTACCATTCTCACTTTATGGAATGGGCTAGTCTTGCTTTGAAACTGAAACAGTTTGTTAGTAAATTTACCGATTTTAACAGTAAAATGTCATAATTGAACAGTTTGTCTTTTACACTACTCACTAACTTTCTGCTGAACTAGAGGCAATTCTGACCTGTTGCCTATATGTACCATCATCATGTTTCTTGTGATACCTTTAGCTAATATTTTATCAAGTGTTAAAGTTTATATGTACTGAAAGTTTCTTCTGCTCATATCATATGTTTACAGTAGGTTTTTGTAATAATATCACCTTTATAGATGGAGAATTGATCCTTGAGCGATACACACAATAAACAATTTGGAATGTATGTTTTTGTACCTCCAGACATAGAAGATTTACCCCTGAAAAAATTTGTTTTTATTTGATATGGAAATGATACCAATGCAATCAGGCAAAGTGCGCAGGGATGATAAATTTGTCTGGATTAAAATTAATGGTCAAATAAAGGAAGCTTGTAGGAACATTATGATTATTTATGATGCATAGACATAGACAATAGGAATTATTAATTGATCTGCCATGTTAAGGGAGGTGAAATTATATTTTGAATGATTAATGGTTGAATAAGTTTTGCTTGAGTTTGATTTTGCAGTGATTGCATTCATTACTGTAGATCGATGCCACAAGTATTGTATAGAACAGATTAAGCAAGAATGTAATTAAGAATAAAGATGCAGTATGGTTTTAAGTCTCTAAATCTAGTTTTAATATCGATCATGACACCCCTAAGATTTAAAGTGGACAAGTCTTCTAAGAACAAATCCATGTCAAGAAACAAGGAAAGAAGGGTTCTAAATAAAATATATAAATAATTTATTAATATTGAATGATAATTGTTATTTGGATGGGATTTTCATTATTTTGACATAAAATAATCACAAACAAGAAGTATTTATATATACAATGTATAAATATTTTATATCTTTTAAAACTTTTCAGAATCTCAATGTGATGTGTGCAATAACCTGTCGGTGAATAACTACCCGTCTACCTTCACCGGAGGCCATCAGTGTCTCGACTTCCAGGACCAAGGTTGTCGCCACAGACGTGTTCACAGTGTTAGTCATATCGCTTACCCCGAACATCTTCGTTCACCTGGGACTGCTCGTGCAATGTCATGCTCACCAATGAGATCACACTCTACTCAAAACTCTGCCGTCAATTCACCCGTAGGTTACGGTTCAGTGAATCAGGCGGCAAAAATTTACACCCCAGTAATACCTCATGAACTAAAAATGTACTCGGGATCAAGAGGATTGTACGGCGTGCATGGTATAGACATGATACGAGATAGACTCAATGTGATAAAAACGTCCACCTGTGTTCATAAGACTCAATCAAAGGCTTCGCTAATCTCATCGGAGTCCGATCATTCGATGGAGTGTTTGTCACATCTTGGTAACCAAGGAGAACAGCAGACTGAAGAAATGTACTTCCCTAGCAACAATTCCACGGTTTCTGTCGGTTCAGATACATTGCCAGCAATGAATGGCAGACGGAAGTGCGGGAATGCAATGGAGAAAATACGTAATCATAAAGTAAGTGAAGCACATTATATGTGAACTGCTCAATGTTATCACCACCATGACAATGGCTGTACATTTTGATGGACATATCAATTGCTATAATGTTTGGCTGGGGCCGATTTAACATCATGCTGCTGTTTAGTTTGACTGACATGCCAACTGCTGAACATTTGGTATAAGAGTTAAATGTATGCTGAATATTAATATTCAAGGTTGATGCAGCATATTTTAAACAAAAACAATTTTACAAAACTAGACAACAGTTTACCTCTTTTACCTTTAATCTGCTGGCAACAAAGATTCTTTCCACATGACCAGTGCAGACCAAGGTCAGCTGGCATATCTAAGCCCTCTATTTACAGCCTGCACTTATGATGCAGTTAAGTCAGTATAATTGTATTGAAATTTTTATTAAAAATGAACGATTCAAATATTGACAAGTCCATTTAAAATATTTAGAATGGGAACTGTTAAGAGTACAAGCTAAGCAGTATAAAATTAAGAAAAAAATCCTTGAGAAAAAAAAGCTTATGGAAAAAAAAAACAAAAAAAAAGCTACCAGTATGTGAAAAAGCAGGTTTATCTTCATTAAAAGGTTTTTTTTCCTGTGAAAAATCTGTTTTTTGATGAATTGTTGAAAGGAATAAGTCCTTGAAGTTAACTTGATGGATAGCACCTATGTAGAACTATAGGATATTTTTTTGTTTTGGGTCTCTGGTATAATCAGGTGTAGACATGTTGTTTTATCCATCATGCTCTATTACTCTCATTACACCCGGTTGTCTGCCAATAATTAACATGCTCATGATTAGGTAAAAGCTTGAACTCTCTGTCATCAAGGTGACCGTTCCTGAAGCCAGGAATCATGCCAATTTCAAATAGAACAAGTCTCTCTAGATGCTGATATTTCATCTTGTATTAGACATAAAGAGGCTTGATTTAACTTAGAAAATCAGTGGTGTAGCGTAAAATGTTCTTCGTTTGATGCAAAATTGCTGTAACTTGATTAATTTAAAGAATCAATTGAAATTGTTTTCTATGAACTATCAATATGCATTTTGGATGTAAAACATCGACATAAATCGTGATAGTTAAAGTGTTCAATAATGATCAAATTAATCATTTGGATGCTTTCTCTTGCTGGTACTTAATTGAACAGCATCACATATGGTTGAATAATTCAAGCTTCTTGCCAACTCTGACTGACATGTTGGTACCTGGCTGTCAAGAAAACAGTTTTGTCCCAATTTCTTTAAGCCGGGATCCAATCAGATTGTCAACAAGCATCTTGCCAGCTCTGACTGATTTTTTGGTGCCTGGCTTTGAACAAAACAAAAAAATGGTTCAGATAGAAGAAATTGTAAGAAGATCTTGTTAAACAATTGATTTGAAACAATCCCTACAGATTTGAATATTTGGAATGCATTAAATTTAATAGGCATTAAAATAATTGTGGTATGTTTTGGGAATACAGTAATGTGTTTCTTATTCATCTAGTAATACTGTGATAGAACGGGGTTTTTTTTTGTAACAATTTGCATACTTTAATACTCCAGAGTGTGACAGTCTTCATTTGCCAATTTTGAAAGACGCAAACTTTTAAATCAATTTTAGGAAATGGATCTGGCAAATTCTGGCATTTTCTTTTTACAAATTTACTTGTATCAAATTGTGTACAGGCATTTAAAAAAATGACAACTTCAGATACACATTAAAAAGCAGTTACAACAAAGTGATTATGGGGTTTTATTTTTTATTTTTTTTTCAAAACTGCCAATTTAAGAAAAAAAAACACAACTTTTAAAACCTATTTGAACAAATAGATGAGGAGCAGTCTCCAGCAACTTCTTTTACAAAATTATTGATATCAAAGTATGTACAGGCATTAAAAAATAGATGATTTGAAAAAAAAAAACACGAAAAAAAAGCAAAAAAAAAAAAACCCATAAA